GAGAATTTCCCTTTTCCTTCAAACAGATGTGTAAGTCCATAGTGCTGAACATTTTTTTCATCTCATTTTTAATGCTCAGCTGGGCCATGATCATTCATTGATGAGATCTTCACTCTGTGTAAAAATAGTGAGGAAAGAGTAAGATTTAGCCTGAATGACATTATGTGGGTGACTCTGGGCCATGTTCTTCCACTAAAAATGATGGTGCTGCAAAAACTGCTTGCCCAAAGTCTAGTCAAATCAAAACCTGAGTGACAGTTAGATATGGAGATAAAACCATTTCTCTGGGAGGCACATGAAACTGAGAGAACCCTCCATGCTGGGGAGAGGACAATGCAGAGCCGATTTAGGATATTTACATCTATTCAGATTTGTAGACAATAACCCTTAAAAATAATTTGCTGGTACTGTTTTTTTTCAGTCTACTCACTGTAGCCGTTTCTCTGTGAACCAGTTTATTCATACACATATGAACCCCACATTTCGATTTTGCAGTGCACCGAAATGTGCTGGGATAACTCCAAAGGTTATTTGGAAGCTCACAGCTAGTCCTCAGTGCAACTGTTCATATTGCTTAACGGTAGCACGTTCAGAGAGTATGTTGCACGACTCTGAAGGAAGAATTGGCTCCCTGTTCCCTGGTGTGCCACTCAGGTTGCTCATACAAATTCAGAAAGCCCTCCTTGAGAGACAGCTCGCCTCAGATAGTGCTACAGAAGTGCAGATCCCCTAAGCTGTGTTTCAGCCAGTGTTTAGCTGTAAATATCTGGGGACTGCACAAATCTTAGCTGGCACTAAACCAACACTAAAAGATTTGGGTTTAGTATGTAAACTATTTCCAATTCTTTTTTAACGCAAATATAAATAATGAAATAATAGTGTAGGACTTGAGAAATTCCCAGTACAACTTATTCACCTGCTCCAAATTTCTGCTGTCTCTGGGCTGGTGGGATTTCAAAACCTGATTCAAAGACCAGCTGCCTGAATTTATAGGAAATGTATTAAAGGTGCATGATGTCATGGACTCACACACATACATATATATATGAATAATTGGATGACTGTAAGAATATGGACATAGCCCCTTTGTCTCAGTGGTTCCATGACACACAGTGCCAAGACATTCACTCCCACACATAGGCTCTGGAGGGGAAATTTCCTTTCCTCCTGCTGGATGTAAAAATATGAGAGGATTTTTTTTTTAAAAGCCATGCTATTTGTTATTCACAATCTGTAAATATTTATGGGCTGTAAGAAAATACACCTGCTACTTATTGCTCCATGTGAAACAAAAGCACAGAAAATAAAATGCTATAAAACAAAGGAGATGCTGAAACATATTTTATCAATTACTGATAAGTACTAGAAGGTAAAATGAAATTTTTCAGAGACAAGATTAAAAACATAACAGTGAAGTTAAACCATGCCATTGAAGAACCTGGCTCCCAAGGTTCTACTTAGTAGAAGTCTAAAGAGTGACTGCAACATTCTCAAAAACGGATGACAGTTGAGTGGATTGGAAAAGTAAACTCTTCTCAGTATGTTTTCTTGGGTAATCTATGTAGATAAACCTGCTTGAGGAATTCTATTACATGGCTAAGGGGATTTTATGATCAGACTCATATGAATTGACATACGACCGTGCACTCCTTTATACATTAATCTGAGAGATCTCTTAGTTTCAATGGACTTGTCTACATTGCATTCAGTGTGCAAACATTTGAATTAAATTTGGATTTCAGTGCCATGTAGCCTCAGTGACATGCAAAATAGTCCAGACTGCAAAAATCTGGAAACTTGGAGAAAAAAACTTTTCTAAATGCTAAACTTGTACTGTCTTGGATACATGATTCTCAATACCAAAACTAGCTATTTAAAGCATTCAGGAGAAAATACGCGTCTTTTTATTAATGAAATGCTTACATTAAGAATTCATAATGTTTACTAGGATGAAAATGGTTGGGTAAAATTAAGCTATAATGTTATAGTAAGATATCTGCTCAGTTAGGAGTCCCATAAAAGAAACTTTTCTTTTCTTCTCCCCAGATGTTAATATGACCCATAGGTGAAAGACAGCTGTTTGCTGTCTCTAAGGTACACACAGTCATTTCCTACCCAGGGTTTCTGTAGATGGAGCTGCTGGAGTGCCGTTTTGTTGCAGTTGTTGCAATTTCTGGTAAATGTGGATAGTCCTGCTTATATTTTGTGAATAACAGGAGACAATACTGTGTATGTCTTGTATCTCTTCCAATGGGGACATGAATGATTGCACTGTTTCAAAATCTATTGTGCAGTAAAGGAGCAGCACTATGCTGTGATTATCACTTTCCATTGCCAGGAGCACCGTGTAAACTGATTTGAAAACTTGCTTGAGTTGTTCTTGTCTCGGCTTCTAAATGTTTGCAATGACATCTGAGAGCTTTACAGCAGTTCAGTGCTTCTGAAATAGCAAACACCAGTCCAGGTCCAGACCACAGGCAAATTATGCTTGGAATTGCCTGTGTTGTAAGTGTGTTTGATTTCTGTAACTTTCCCTTGGGGAATCCTATATTTCTCACCTGTGACATAGAGAGAAGCTCCTACACAGCGACAGAGCTCTGAGCTTTGGTGTCAGCTCAAAGCTTTTATTAGCAGGCCTGATAAAGTTGGAGCTGGCTCATTGCTTCCCACTGAGCAGGCTATGGTAAGGTCTGATCAGACCTTGGTAAAAATTAGTGGATGCTGGTAAAATTAGCTTGTGGGCCTTGAAAAATATTAATTGAGTAGTCTTCTAATAGTACATTGTAATTCAGCTTAAAGAGCTTAATCAGAATCTATTACATGCTGCTAAAGTGGCTCAATAATGGAGGGCTGATTCATAACCATCGTAATCACTTCATTGCACTTTTAGTTTAGATCTGTTTTTCTTCTTGCTTTAGTGCTCAATAGAGTCTTCATAGCTAGAAAATCCTTCGAATTAAATGTTTGTAATATTAAAATTTAGGATTGTACCTATGAAATAATGAAATAGTAAAAGACTTAACTGAAGGGCAGTGCAGTTAAGTGTAACTGCTGTACTTGGATTTGTAGTGTAAAAGGCTTTATGACTGGTATACTGACATTTATATTTATTTTTTTTCTATCATCCTGAAAAATCCTGGAGTTGTACATTTTTGGGGAACTGTCTTTCATTTTTGAGTATGTTTTGTTTGCTGTACTGCTCTAAAACCACTGGCTTACAGTATCGTCTGAGCTGATCAGGAGTTTGAAAATGCTGCTGAATTTGCAAAAATAGATTATAATAATACTCATTTTGATCTTTTCCAAAAAGTCTTTTGCTCCAAATAAGTAGCTAGAGATCCCTCTGGTCTCCCTGGGGCAGGTGCTGGTGAAGCTTAAGAAGCTGCTGGGCTCAATTATTCTTACTGCTCCTTTGCTGGATGTTACCTTTCCCCAGAGTTGAGATTCTGTAATAGGTCGTGGAATGATTACGAGTCTTTTTCGGTAGAGCTACCTTTGAATTACTACTGCAGGGTGATTTCATATGAAAGACACATAATCCATTGTAACGTCTCTTCTGTAGGGAACATGTCAAGTGCCTTATGGGTGATAGACTGTTAAGTCACTGTAGTTGTTTCTGGAATTATTGTGTATCCATGCTCAAAGAATTTATCTGGAAAATGGTGATTATACAATATTGAAGTTGGCCTGTTCCTGTAGTCTTTGTTTGGGTTTCATGTCTTCAATGGTTGGTGCAGTAGCAATGTCCAAATGTGCAGACAAAAGATGAAATCTTCAGAGAGGCTCAACTGATGACCATCACCCTTGTTCTTTAGGAAAGGCAGAGCTGTCTGACCAGCAGACCTTAGTGCAAAGCTTTAGATATGCCACTGATTGACTGGTATCTCTGTCTCATCTTATCCATCTGTTCGATGGGAATAAAATCATCTCAGCTTTCCTCTGGATCCAATTGTGTGTGCAATTTTTATAAAGGACTTTGAATATATGCACTGCTATTTAAGTAATGTAATGTACTATGGTATTACATCGGACTGGAGTGGGTTAATTTAATTAATTAACCTTGATTTAAATCATGGCTTAAAAGTAGCCTCTATTTGCATAATTGATTTAAATTTTGCCTTGCGTGTTACTGTCTCATGATTTTTCTAAAGAAATATTAATTTTTAGTTGTTCGTAAGCATTGATTGTCAATGAAACACATAGTGGATTAAACTGTACTTCTGTTTAGGAGGAGAGGGTTGTGGGGTTTTTTTTGTGTTTGATTGCTTGGGGGTTTTTTTAAATCTTTGAAGATGTCACTCTTGTGGAATGATTTGCTTGTTCTAGTTTAAAAGAACTCCAGGTAGGAACAGCAAAACCACTCTGGACAGAGTAAGTGGCTCAGTTGTGATGCTTACTTCCTTTTTCCGAATAAGGGCAAGGCTTATGTTCAACCAGTTAACTGCAGGTGAAAGGAAGCAGAGAATTTTAGGAAGAAATACCTGAGTAAGTGTGACAGAGTTGTGGTTTGGAAGGGAAGAAACAAAGATACTTTGTATATTCAGCATTGTGGTGGCATGGATGAGCTTTTGAGAGCAGCAGCAAAACAATAAAGTAGTAGTTAATCAGTTTGTAGGAAACAGGAGGAGAAGAGGAGAGAGAAAGTGTAGAAAAAAATAATTAAAAATAATGGAGATATACAAGACTTTTACTTCCAAAGTCAGGACCTTGAGCTTAATATGGAAAGTAACAGGTAACTTCATTTCTTTTTTTTTTAATGAGTGACTGTAGTGATATGGTCAATGCAGGCAAGGAGAGTAATTATTTTAGCAGCTATATTTTACATGTATTGGAGCATGGGGAAGAAGACCTTGAAGAGGAATTTGCTGTAACTGATGCAAGTAATGGGAAGTTTTGGACAAAGACTTTAGTGGAAGGATTGGAAAGGACAGGGTGGATATTGGAGATATCATAGAAAAGTACTGATAGGATTTGATGACAGCCTGAGCTGTGATCAAGTGATGGCAAAAAGAGTTGAATGGGCCATGAAATTTGAAATCTATAGAACTGAGAAAGATAGTGGTACTGTCAACAGCAATGGCAAGGAGGTGAGAATTGGAAGAAAAGATAAGAAGTTCAATTTTCAAGAGGCTTTGACATCAAAATTGTGTGTTCGAGAAGCAGGCAAAGAAGTGAGATAGCTTGCAACATAGGGGAAATGAGAGATGCAAGTGAAGATCGGTGATTCATCAGTGTCGAAATGGTGCTGGAAGCTGAGGGCAGGTGAAATCACTGGGAAAGGAGCAGGGAAGAGAACTGGCTGAGACTTTGCACTGGAGATCAATGAAAGCAAAAGGAAGAAAAAGAACATGCTGACCTGTCAAATTCTATAGTGGACAACCATGGTAGGAAAGAGGAGCGAATACCAGGTGTCGTATAGCTGCACCAGAAATCAAATACACAGATGAAAACCTTATGAAATACAGAGTTTGGAAGAAGATTGTAAATGGAGTATTTAGAATAATCATGGAGCCTGAAGACAAAAAAACCCAAAGTGCTATACCTGAAGAGGCAACATAAGAAGTCTTCTATAAGTAGAAGACCTTCCCCATTACATATGTAATTAAAATGCTAGTTTCTGATTTTTAGGAGAAGGAATCTATATTTATTAGT